AGGGGGGGGATCTTTCCACCCTAGTAGCCCTGATTCCGCCCCGGGCGCGTGTGCGGCTGCTGCGAGAAGAGACCTTCCCCCCCGCAACCACCGATACAGCTTTCTTCCCTTTAGGGTGGGAGTCAGGACTTTCCATGGGAAGGAGGTTGGCGAAGATGGAGATTTTCTGGCTCTGTCCAGGGTGAGAGACGTCCCCAAGGACACGTTTTGTCCTCCTACACACGTCTCACACACACTTGTGTCTCCTCGCAGCTCATCCAGCACTACGACGTGCGGCCGGAACCCGCAGACCCGCTGGTGGAGCCCAAGACTCGGACCCTGCTCATCCCGGCAAAGCCCATCAACCTCCGCTTCCTGCCCCGAGCCTGAGGGGGGGGGGGGGGCGCCACTCGGGACCCGCAGGGCCAGTCCGCCGAGAACACGTTCCCCGTCAGGCTCTCAGAGGAACATCTGGGACGTGTCTACCACCTGGAGTCCCCTCAGGAATCAGGAATTGTTACCAGAATATCGGAGACATTCAAGGAATTTGACTTGTCGGTGCGACATGGACAACAAGACCGAGGAGACAACGTGCTGCAACAAAATAGCATGTTCAATTTACAAATTGACGCTTTGACTCTACGGTATAAAATATAAGACTAGAGGGAAATAGAATAAGCAGTTTGAAAATAAAGGATAAGAAGGAATTTAAAATAAAAGTTCAAACTAAAGTGCACCAGCGAACACACACCTGTGTGTGAAGGAGGCCGGTGTGTGTGAGCAGTGTGAAGGGAGTGACGTCGGTGGGATGTCAGTGGGGGGCCGTGTGACATCGATAAGATGCTTATGAATCCAGTGGATCTGAAACAAGTTCTTCTTCATCTTCTAGTGAAGCGTTTGTCTTCTCTTAATCGTTACAGCGTGATGATCAGCTACTAACACGGAACATTTAGTCCTCATTTGTTTTCACGTATAGTTTAATATTTGATGATTATTGCTGCTGATTTGTGTTTTTCTGGTTTCACATTAATTAGATCAGAGTTTTATAAGACTTTTAACATCTTTAGGAAGGAGGGAAGAAGTCAAGTGAAACAGCGTGAGCTTTGACATCTTATAGTTTTAACACCAGATTTAACATTTTACTGAAGGACGACGTCAAAGGTTTCTGTTGTTTGAGAGGAGATCAGTTCCCACAATACAGCGCTCCATGCGAGGTTACCATGGTGACGGCGCCATGACACCAATAAAAACGTTACTGATCCCTCCGAGCCGTCCTCAATCTATGACGTCATTGGTATCAGCAGCTTCGGCGTCTGTTTGTGGTCAATCAGACCTGGAGAAGGAGTACACGCAGTATTGCATGTACTCCGATGTATGTATCTGACATATCTGGTACTAGTACAGTAGTACTTCAACTTCAAGGAGTCTCATGTAGACGCAAACCGTGCTCCATTATTTTGAAAGTCAAACAACTTCACTTCCGGTGGCTCTGACTTCGATCAGCTGGTCAGCCGCGCGCACTGCAAAGGATTTTGTGAATTCAGGTGGCTTTTATTGTGACTTCCGGTTGCACCACCTTCTACGGAAATATGAAGAAAGATACGTGATGATGAAATAAGCACGAGGGAGTCAACCTGCTGGTGCGTCAGATAATATTTATATTTATATATTTATATTTATTTATATGTATTTTGTTGGCTGTATTTGGGAGCTCCGCCTCTAGGGGCCGCTGCAGAATCTCTTCTGCTCTTTACACCATCAGTTTCCAGGCGAAGACATTTTTTGCAGCGAGGCCACCTTCTCCACCCGGCGCAC